TCGATAAGATGTGGCTGATCATATAATAATGATTAATTATTGTTGCACAACTAGTTAACCTCTTAAAAAAAGAAGAAGGCAATTATAACCTTGATGGAGTATCCACCAAAAGGGTCACTGGAATGGATCGACATACGATTGATATTTCTGTTTTCAGTGATGATCTTCTTCCTCATTGTTGTCTTTCTCTCTCTCTTCGGCTGCCTCTTCTTAATCCGACTTGTGGAGACCTATAGTAAACACGATTACGACTTTTACGAGAAGTATATTCGACGATCAAAGATACTATCTACTACGACCTAGAAGAAGATGAACATATCCTCCTTCGCTACCGTAGAATTTTCAATTATCTTGATTAATTTGTTTTTTTTATATAAAACTTTCCTGATTTGTTGGTGTTTAAATTAAACATTTTTCAATATTGGGGTTTAACAAATGTTCTTCATTCAACTCTAAATCAGAAAAAATGAATAAATTAATGATAATTAAACTACATGGTTACGCTGGTCTTTTTAATGATGTATCAGTTTCTGTTTACATCAAAAAGCTGATATGATACTGGAGAAACTTCGTTTGTTTTTTCTTGTATTGATTATGTATCTCTCGTAAAAGACACAAAAATCTAAAACCTTATAGAAGCATAACATAATTAAAAAATTCCATTGATAGTGGATGACTAGAATTATCTTACAGAAGAAAATCTTTGTGTTTTGTTCAACAGAAAAAAAAAAAAGAAAAACCAATAAAAAATTGATCTAATTAAATCCCGTAATTAATTAACGAACATATTGTAAACTTCAAACTCGATTGATGATATTGGATTCTTCGTCTTGAATCTGCTCGTCGGTTACTAGAGAGGTATAAGAGGGTTTTGCAAAAGCTAGCCACTGACGAAACAAACAAAATCCAAAGATTCCCAAAGCGACAAGGTAAAGGAATATGGCTCCGGCAAAGTCATACATTAATGATAACGTTTCTTCTGAGGAGTCACCATTATTGTCCATGGTCAAGCGATCGACTAGTCTCCAGACAAACAAGTTTATTTATGATAACTAACTAAAGGTTTTCAATACCTCTATAAAAATGAATCCCTTAATAAAAATACATAACAAATCAACTTAGATATTGCCCCAAGAAAATCAACTTAAAATTGTAAAAAAAAAAAATATTAATAAGAAAAGGTAATGATTAATTTTGAAAGAAAATCAAAATTCTTTAAATGGAAATAACTCAAATATTTTAAAATATGGAAAAGTTAAATTGTTAAAAATTTACTCAACTCTAAATTTAATTTTCGTTTTTGTTTCCATCTTCCAAAAATCTTAAATTTTCAAATATAAAATTTATATAACAATATGTGTAAGAGTCTTAAAAAGATAATAATTAACCATATATATATATATATATATTGTTAACAAAGAAATTCTGAGTCTTTGGTCCAAAATTCTTTCCGTCCGAAACCATCACCGCCTGACAAAAATGTGCATTAAACCTTTTATATCCTATTTGTCTAAATTATTGAAGGGTCTTCTGAATAAATTAGAAAAACACAATCTATGCAAATCTAGATTTATACATATCTTATAATTGCACATGATCAAAATAAAATCCGTTTATTCGAATCTAAATAATCCATTTATTTATTTTTATTCCCGATCTGTTATTAAATGTTTTATAACTTTTTGATTTGCTCTACAAACATTGATTTTATATCCCAAATTTCAAGATTCAATGATTAACTGTTTCATACTACTATTGGTTCAAACTTCAAAATTACTAAAAATTTTAAATTAAAAAGTAGTTAACAAATAATTAAATAATAATTGTATCTTAATATATGTGAAAACTCTATAACATCAATTTTTTAGGAATAGATGGAGTAGTATACCGTAAATAGTTGTTGTTAGTCCTAATTCTTGTTGTAATTCAATAAGAAAATATGATTTGGTTTCATTGTGTAGTATATTTAATAATAATTTTCTAAAGGTATTGTCTTCGGAAGATACGTACATAAATACATAACCATAAAAATAAATGGTGAAGCAACTTCCATAAGAAAACAAAGAAAGTGTCAACAACGAAAACGCTAATTAATCAAGTATTTAAAATCTATATATAACAAAAAAAAGTTCGAACAAAATAAAACTTATAAAGACGACTGAAAGCTTATTCCGTGATTCCTAGATATTAATTTAACTTCATTCGCAAACTCTGTGTGTTTGCCTCGATCGTCCATCATTCAAACTCGTGGATTAGATTCATGGGTTGAAACTCAGAGACACCATTTCCTCATCTTTCTGACTACACGTATGCGAGCAATATCTAACACAAAGATAAAAGCCGAAAAGGAAAACAGTGACGGACATCACCATCATTATCCGAAGCAACAGTATTACAGTTTCCTCATATCGTGATGTATCCATGTCGTTAGCGAGGCGACTCCAAAAATTCAACGTTAGTTCGTGTTGAACCCTGACTAGATGAATACAAGTAATTGTGAAAGTGTTTTTTAATTATAAAGAAATAAATGAAACGTATAAGAGCTATTTTCCCTACCTAAGGTGCTAACTAGGTTTTCTACATACATATAGATTATGAGATTTGTTTTTTCTTTTTGGTTTTGGAGATTTAGTTTAGTAATGGATTTGTTCAAAAAAAAAAAAAAAAAAAGAAGTTGAGTAATGGATAAGTCCAGCTACTAAATAATTAGCAAAAATAAAATTAAACTCTCTCGGCTGCTAAATAAGTGTTCCCTATTATAATTTATTTTGTTTATTAGTGAACTTGGCTGAATTACCTGTATTACATTTAAAAAAAAAATTAATTTAAGAGAATATCTATTAGCAAAACTAAAAAACAATTAAAATCTAGAGTAGATAAATGTTATACCTTTATTTTTATTCTTAAAGGAATCAACTACCACATATATATAAAGTCGTCTTGCAATTGTTTAAGTTATATACGCTAAACAATTTTATCAATAATGGAATCTATGGCACCTCCTCCGTTATCATCTACATCTGCAACGTTCGACTCACGGCGTGATAATATAATAAATCTTGCTTGCACGTTTATCGTCTTAGTGTTTTTCTTCGTTGGCATATATGCATTCATGTACATAGAAATATTGGTTTGGTTGATAGATAAGGAAACTACTAAAAAGAAATATTTTCGCTTACGCGATGTGGAACTGGGAAGGTTGCCGGCTGGAGAAAGAATCCAAGATCAATCAGATGGAGAAGAAAACGATTTGGCCAAAGATCAGACGGCGGTTGATTTCTGAAGACAATGATCACAGAAATTATTAATTTTTAATAGTTGTGCTCTTTTTGTTAGGGTTTTAAATAATAGTTTTAGTCATCATGTTTCAATGAAACTCTCCTTATTTTTTTTAATAAATGTTAATTTATATTACCAATATGGAACAGTTTTTACAAGAGTTAGTAGTAGCTTCCAATGAAGTGGATGCTCCTATGGTATGATTTTTTTTTTTTGGTTTTAATGTGATAAGTTGACGATTCTTAAGGTTTTGCTTACTCAGTGCTTATTAAAAAGGTTTTGGTGAATGCTTATTTGAATCATCATCACAGGAAGCTTGGCTCATTGACGGTGGTGAGACCATATCAAAAGTTGGGTTAGTTGAAATTCATGTTATCTTGTTTTTTTTTCCAATGTTTATCTTTGTTTTCTCTTATAAAAGAGTATATTTAATCAAGATGGATTTTGTTTTTAGAAAAATATTGGTAGATAAAAGGTGAGGCAATTAACAATTATGGTCGCCAAGTTTGTTAATGGTGCACTTTATTTTAAGTATTTCGTGTGAAAAGTTTGAAGTTCAACTATGAGTCAAAGATATCTTTTCGCCTAAACAGGTCCATACAAGTAGGCCAAGCCATACTTGGAAGTACTGTAAGTATAATAAGTAAATTTTCTGACTGAAATATCCTATTTTTCTTTGGGCACTTGCTCGTTTTCGAATTTAAGTTCACGAAAACAATTCAAGCTTTTATTGCAGACCACGTTTAACCATGAGTTCTAAAATCTAACTGAAACATTTTTTTTTCTTTTTTCGGGTCAAAATCTAGTTGACAACAAACGTAAATGAACAATTTTAACAACAGAGTAAAATTAGATCCTAAAGTTCACTAACTTATTCATTTGCTTTGATCCTCTTAGCGTTGGCATCAAGTTGATCATGCATTTGTTACTCTTTTGCTCCAAAGCCTAAGTCCGTTTCTGAAATTTGCATGGTTAAGCTTGATTGTACTTAAAATTAAAAATGGCTTCTATCAAAGCCTTTTTATAATACAAACTTCTCATTGCATTTGTGATGCTTGCAATAGACCGTGTCCGATGTTGAACAAGGAGGAGCATTGTTGCAACATAACGTTAACAAAAACTATGGACCGACCAAATTAACTCTCTAATTTTTGCAAGGAACGGTGCCCGCAATTCTTTAATACATGCATGCTAAATTGCTAATGTGATCTGTCACCAAAGCTAGATTTGAATAAGGTTGTTCGCCTATAACATGTTGTGTAAGTATCTCAATGCTCAAAAAATAAAGAAAGGTATTTCAATGCTAAATTGGAATGTTTGGCATATGATGAAATGAAATACACAATTTTCATTAATTTCATAAAAGAAATATAGTATAGCACACAAAGTAGTACAAAAAATAAATAAGGCCCAATAAAGAGTTTCGCCACGATCAAAGAAGCGGCGTCTCGTCTCCACATCCATATGGATTCTCTTTTGTTTCTTTACGCCACGTGGATTCTCAATTACTATAAAATTTCGATGGTAAAAAATTGAGGAATTAGACGAATATTCAATTGTATTAATCACCCATTGTTCCATTTTTTCTTTGGTAAATCAATCCACATCTTATAAAATAAACGTCTGATAGTGATAGTCTGTAATATCAATGTTAACTCTCCCTCTTACACAGCCACAAGGGTAATTTGGCGAGCTTCTGGTTTGATTATTAGACTAACTACTTCAAGCCAAATGGGACTCCATTTCCAAAGATGGAAAGGTCATTGACCATATATCATAACAGTTAATCAATCTGTTTTAATTGAATGAACTACTTTGTGTCAAATAAGACTATAAGAGCAAGTAAACACTAATGTACTATCACACTATAATTAGTAAAACCTGTAATTACTCTAACATAGATAATGATTCAAATGAATAGAAAATACTCTAAGGTAGCCACCAAAACCTGTAATTACTGACCAATATATCAGCTTTCTCAGGAGCAATCCAGAAACGCATGTCACTGAGAGATTATGGTAACAATGCCTTCCCATCCTCTCGTCGTAACCAAATCCTGTCAGCAAGGATAGCACCACAAAAGTATAATTTAAAACTGTAGAAGTTTTAGAAATGAACCATCATAGAATCAGCATCTTTAAATAGACTCAATTTCTGAAAACTCACATGGAGTGTTTTGACAGCATAGGGATTCTTTTCTACGTCATACATTAGTACTTTCCGAGTGATTCATCCTAAAAAATTAACAGGTGACTTACAGTAGTTAATTCGGACGCTTTCTCATTAGGGACCCTGTCCTCTAAGGCTCTAGCAATTGCCCTTCGATACTAGCAAAACAAAGATTAAGACACTGATAAATAATGGTGTAATATTAGATTTTTCATCATTACACATTCATTAGTCTTTCAACTATTTCCCTTCTGTTGATCTCGGCATAAAAAAAGGTAAACTTCCGTAAAAGAGACATGATAACATTAAAGATGTTGTGGAATACAAACTAGCAAAAGGCAACATACTTGGATGTATTTAACAGTGTCTCTCTCAATGCCCTCATAGCTGTGGGCTTCTAAATTATACTTCAGTGGCTGCATATAACAGAGGGAAAAATGATATTTAAAACAGAGGGAGACTAGTTTACCAATACAAAGTTAAACCCCATGAAGAAGAGCTAACCTGCAAGGGTGTGTGAAAGCGATCTCTGTGGATAACCTCTTTGCGTTCTTGTTCAGAAAGTGGTTCCATATTGAAGAACAAAGAACTAAGATAGTCAAAATACGGCTATTGGGGTGCATTTGCATATCTGAGAGCCGAAATGATGAAAGTTATTCATAAATATACTACAGGAAACAGTCACAAAGGATAGTAGCTGACCATTAGCGCCCATAAGGAATAGAGGAGACTGACCCTCAGTGATATCAACAGAATCCGTTTGAAGATTACACAAAGGTTTTCCGGATACTATAGCCTGCATAACCAAGATTAATGTTTATGAATGAAAATCTGTTTCTGATAACTCTCGGGATTGTAGAGAAGTCAAAAGAGCAATTTGTTTTCTACCTGTACATTATGATGAAAAAGTCTTGTTATAAGCTCTCTGTGATTCTTTAATAAGATTGGATGCTGAGTTGTTGGTGCGAAACACTGGCAATGGAATTAGAAGCATTTCTATGAATCGGGATTGATTACTTCAGTGCCTAATGATGCGGGAAAAAAATTGCTACGTCTTCTATTACTTCAGTGCTTATTATGGCTGCTTTCACCAAATCTCCAAACCATCGCCCTAGTGCATTTTCAGATGGTAGCTTACTCCTACAGAATGGAAACATTGTTATGTCTGCTAAAGAAAAGAAAAAGAATCATTGAATCAAGGGTTTTCTCGGGACTCACTGAACATCAAGAGCAACAAACAGTTTACTATCATGGTCACAAAGAAGACGAAACGAATTCCATATCTCCCAGTAATCTTTCTGCATATATTAAGAAGAGTGTTTCAGGTGATAAGATCAAAGACATTCCACTTGTCTATCTGGATATAAAAGGCTGATAATTGCAGCATAATTGCAGCATCAAAATGATCTAAGAAAGGCACAAAACTTAATCTTACTGGATCTTCTGTATCAGAATCCTTTAGCGGAATCCTAAGCCACAACTTCATTGCAGGATCAGATTGAAGCAAGAACAAAGAAGAAAAAAGATTAGAGCTTTCATTGAAGAGGTTCTTGAAAAGCTTGACAGATATCAAAAAGAAAGAAGAGTACCTCAATTTCAGGCAATCTCTGTAAGATCTGATTCACACATCTAGCATAATTGGCGCAAGAAGTCCCTTTAGGAGTAGGAAGAAGGCATGACTGCAACATTATCACAAAAATCCATTAACAAGACTCAATTTTTGCCCCTCAATTAACACTTAAACCCCCCATAAGCGTCAATCATAAACACACCCGTACGGTGAGATGCTTAGCCTATAATTTAAAGGTGGACAAAATCCACTAAACATAATCTCAAGGTACAAAAGAGAATGGAGGGCACAGGTGACTCTCTTGATCTTCAAAACCCACGCCTAGAATACAACGAAAATGATAATGAATGAATCACCGTTATTCGCTAATTTCGCATTCACGTCGTCCTCCTTCAAAAACGTTTATATCGTTGGCGTGAATTCGGAATTGGCGGATGACGGTGATTCATTCATTATCCTTTTCGTTGTATTCAAGGCGTGGGTTTTGAAGATCAAGAGAGTCTACTTGTGCCCTGGGTTTGTCCACCTTTTAAATCATAAATCTATTTTTTTCCTTCAATGTGGTTTCTGAATCCCTTCGCACGATCTCATCTTCAGAATCCAAATCAATCCACGAACTAATTTTACCTTAAAACAAAAAATCATCCACCGATTTGATCCCCAAATTCTTCTTTCTCAGTCGCAAGAAAAGCAAAGAATCATACCAGTTACACGCAATCTCCATCTAAAAAGTGGCACCACTAAGTAAGAGTCAGCGAATGGAAGAACCCTAGTATCATAATTGCTTTCATCGGCTAAACCAGGCCTATACGAAGGATTCATCTACGCGATAAACAAAAGAAAGAAGAAGAAAACGCCATTAATGTACAAGAATACGAGAATCGCGATTGAAGAAAAGAGAGTATAGAGAAGACAAAGCAAAGGAACGAGAACAAAATCGAAGCGGCCATTGTCGGTATTGAAAGAGATAAGAGAAGAAACATCGTCGGAGAAATCAGTTTCAACGCCGCAGAACTTGGAATCGCTATCCTCCCATCCTGCTTTCTCTTCAAACGGCATTTTTCTCACACTTTGGAGCAAATCGGAGATCGGAAAATGAAGATTCTGTTGTTGATCAACGACGACGAAGCTTAAAGGTTTTTACAGGGAAGTTTACGGTTCACTAGCTCTGATCCCTGACTGCTTATCAGCGAAGTTTACGGTTCCGTTGGAAATTATCAGCGAAGTTTACGGTTACTACTAGCTCTGATCCCTGAACCTGTTGATTATCAGCGAAGTTTACGGTTCTTCCGAAGGAAATTATCCTAAGGACCTGTTGATTATCAGCGAAGTTTACGGTTCTTCCTAAGGACCAGTTGGAAACTCCGAGGGAATTATTACTACTATTTTGGATCTAATACCTGCGTGTTAAGTGCTTGGATCTCGGAGCCCAACCACCTGCGTAACACAAACAACAGAATCATTCGAACCACTTTGATCAAAAGCAAACTTTTTAGGAGAGATCTGTCGAGATGTAGAGGTTTCAGGAACCTCGATGTACAAAATTCAGCGATGGCCTTATCCGCGAGCGCCTATAAACATGACTTTGATGAAGGAGGAGAGTCAGCAATAAGAGAAGCAAACTGCTGCAATTCGAAGGTAGTGTTCGGTACGACAGCCAATTTCTGCTTGGTTGCATCCAGATAATTCTTCACCACCTTGACTTCATCTTTGAGAGTGACACTTGCCTTCACTAAGTTGTCCAGCATCTACAGATTACGCTAAAGTTCATTGAGGTTGGATATCAGGCGAGCTTTTGCCTTCAGGTGCTTGAAAAGCCCTCCCACCTCTTGAAAAAACTTCTGCCTGCGACCTTTGACCTTTGACCTCTTTCTTTGCCTCGTGAGCTGACTTCTTTAAATCATGGTTCTGGAGTTTGATGAGGAAATCATACCCAAGCGTTACTTAATTCGGTTTCGCCTGGGAGGTATCGAGCTCTTGTTTTGCTTGGCGGAGTTTGATTTGGATGTTTCCAGCTCAACCATCAGGACCCTTATCCTTTGTTCATTCGCCTTTGATTGAGCCTTCGCCTCGTTTCGCTCCTTTTCTAGCCTGACTGCGCGATCCAGCTTCTCATAATTTTTGTCACCCACCACCTTAAGTTCGGGATTAAGCTGCTCCAAATCAGAAACCTTCTTGTTTATGGCCTATAATTCATGTTGAGGTGCAACACTATAAAGAAGGTTTTTTTGTAATAGTGGATCACATCATTGATATCTACAACAGCTTATAAATGATAAAGATTGGTAAAGGACCAAGTAGTATCTTCATGAGTGATATCTTCTCTTTTATAGATGGGTTGTATATTTTCAAAATCTTATAAGCTTCCACACGGATTAGAGGCTTCAAAATAGACAACTAAGAAGAACAGGCCTGACCTTAAGCGAAAAAGGCGCCTTTGAGAGGCAAAAAAGCTGATACTCTCTCTTCAAAACCCTAGCCGCCTTTATAGATCTGAGGGAGAGGAGCCTTTCCGGCAGCCGGTTTTCTTCTCCGGTTTGCGTTTGCTCTTCTCCCTCCCCCTAGTTTCTTTCTGTTCTTCATCGTCGGCCTTGTTTGTGGTTGCAACGAGAGTTTAGTGGTGAGTAGTGTGGATGTCGGATTCACACACTCAAGTATTTTTATTAGTAGGAAAGATTATTCTTGAGGGACAAAAAATAAGAACGCAAAAGGCTTATGAATACAAAAATTGCTATCGTATTTCTTGCTCAAAAGAGAGATGTGTCCTTTACATGGCCATTGGCCTCCATATTTATACATAGAGAAACGACATTAAAATGAGTAATTAAGTACAATTATTCCTTCTTAAATGTGTCCGTTTTGATTCCTTGACTTTAATGCTCAACGTTTGAATTTGAGTTGACTCTGATCTTCATGGGCCTCGCCTTTTTGGCCCAAGTGTCCTTGAACCGACTTACCCGTGTCTTCTACACCGAACTCATGTCACAGTGCAGTCACTTCGGATTCTCGAAGTGGTGACAACCACTTCAACCGTTCCTTCGGCTTCATGGGTCCAATGGGCTTTATCCTTTATGGGCCATTATCTTGACTACGTGGCAATCTTTGGTTGGTCTCGGACTTCTGGTGCGGGATCCGACACCAACAATTAGCCCCCCAAGTTCTTCGAAGTACTATTCCAATTCGGAGGACTTTAAATGCTTTAATGACCAAAGATTGCGTTCCGAGGAATCCTCTGATTTTTTCCCGCCAAGATCCCATCAGACCTTTAATTTCGGCGCTACCCATATTTAGTCGCGTGACATCTGTCGCCATTATGACCGTATATCGATTATTTACTATTAAAGCGGGAAAAAACCTTCCCACTTCTTCCACGATTCCCAAGACAATTTCATCATTATCACCTAGCTTGCGTGAGGTAACCTTCTTTGTCATTCTTACTTTTACTCTTGATCTTTGTGGTTAAAACTCCTTCTACTTCTCTCTCCAAATTTTCTTTTTCCCGAAACTTGAATTTTTCATTCTTCCCAATGACTTCCGATTCCGATAGACCCGAGTCTCCGTCTTTCGATGAGAGGCATTCTAGCAATGATGAGTGCACCCACCCTAATGATATTGCCGGTCCGCACTATAGATCCACCTGCACCCTTCAATCCCTTGAGCGATTGAAGGGGCTCTGCCGAATCCCACCGGGAATTATGGCAGAGGCGCATATGGCTGATCCTACAGAGTCCCTAGAAAGCCACCGCGACGGCTACTTCTGTGTATACGAGATCTATTTTAAAGGTTGCGGGCTGACCTTTCCCCTTCCCGAAGCCCTGGTTCGATACCTAGCAGCTCTTGAAATTGCTCTTCCTCAATTAACCCCTAATCTTCTTCGTACTATCCTCGGAATTATAACAATCGCGGCGGAGGCCGGATATGTTATCGGAGTCACTGAACTAAATGAGCTTCTAAGCGTAAGGAGTTCATTGAAGAAGACGGGGTACTTCTCAGCGTATCCGAATGCTAATAGAAACATCATCTCGCACCTTCCAAACAAGGATGAAAATTGGCACCATCCTTGGTTTCTGATTAAGGAAACTCCCGCTTCGATTGGAAATCTTGCAGATTTACTCCCATCAAAGTGGTCTGCGAAGCCTGGTAGAGATTAGGTCGCATATATCTTTTCCGGTTGTTTTATTATCTTTATTGACTAAAACTGTTGTTTCATTTCGCAGCTTTCATCGCTTCCACTCTCCCGTCCGAAGGGTTCATCGAATTCTTCAAGATAATCCTCGAAGGGGAAACCCTTTGGAATTCTTTCACTCTTGAACGGTTCCTAGAAGCTAACCACAGACTCAGGATGAGTCCACCAGGTCAACTTCACCAACTTCCGCCTCCTCCTTCAACTCAGGGGATGTCATCTCGGGCCCTTGCGGCCAAGCGTAAGGTGCTTTCCAAGCCGATAGCTGAGGCTTGTGAGGAGAAGAAAAAGTTTCTCGCGACTTCTATAGATAAAAAAGACTACAGTAGGACCCTGCTGGTTGATGATGGCAGCACCGAAGGAGCCAGATCCGTTGCTTCTTTCAGATTAACTCCTCGTCGTGATCATCGTGACTCACGTTCTCCTCGGAGGGACCGATCTCCTCGCCGTGATTCACCTCGTCCTCCCCGAGATGATTTCAACAACGAACCTCTTAAGAACTTGGTTCGCAGGAAGAGAGACAAGTCCTCTCGTAGTGATTCTTCCCCGCGAAGGGAGAAGTCAAGGGCCCGGACTGACCGTTCACCTCGATCATCCCCTACTATTGAACCAATGGGTCCTCCACGACCGGTTGAAATGTCTTCCTCTTCCCAGCCTGACAGTGAAAAGACTGCCCGGAGCGCATCTCCAAAAAAGGGAGATTCTGAATCCCGAGATGCTTCCTCGAGGTTAAAGCCTGCTCTTGTCCCTCAAGTCAAATCGCTTTCAGGTTTGGTGATTTACACAGTCTTAAAAGTTTTTGTCTCTATTTAGATTCCAATTTTTACAACTCTTCCTTCTTCGCAGCTATGGAGAAAGAAGGCAGCGTCTTCCGATGCTTCAAGACCCGATCGGGTTCGATCTTGCCAGACTTCAATAAGTGGCGCCCTGCGATTCGTGAACGCTATTTGCTTCACGCTCATCATTCATCTCGGGTTAGTTCCGTTTTTTGTTTTTTTTTTTTTTTATGTACTGCCATTCTTCAAACTGACTCGCCATCCCGGGTTTATATATAATGCCAGGCTCACAGCGAATTTAACGACATGATTGAACATTACGAAGGGTTGGTCATTGGACGGGAGAAGGAGATTGACATGTGGAAGAAGAAATTCTCTGCTCTTGAGGCTGAACTCAGTTCTTCTGCAGGCTCCAAGCACGATCTGGAGGACAAGGTCGATAGTTTAACATCCGAGCTTGCGCAGATAAAAGGGGAGCTGCAAGACCAGTACGACCGGAATTACAAACTCCAGGATGAACTTTCTGGTGTTCAGGGTAGACTTCATGAATCCGAATCAACCGCCGATACCCTGAACAACCAACTTATCGAGCTTGACGCGAAGTACAAGGCGCTAGCCAAGTTGCGTGATTCCGAGTTGGCAAGGTCGGCATCGAAAGCCAGAAAAGATGTTAAGGGACGTGGGATGGAGTTGATCCAGGGGGCCATCCGCTTCATTCAAACCGAGAAGGCTAGGTCAGATCTGGAATCAGACGTCAAGGAGCACGAGAGCAATTTGATTCTGTTGGATCAAATCCATGATGCAGATTTCTCCGAGGTGCAGGAGAGGGCTGAACTGTCGACCAATCTTTCTGAAAAGCGGAGTCGTTTGGCAGCTCTTCCCGCTTCGACTTTCAACCCGCAGGACTTTGAGGAATTCTTCACAGAATCTCCTCCTATAAGTAAATCGGGTCTAGACTGGGCAGGTAACTTTTGGCTCTTGATACTCATTACCTTTTCTTACCTTGTACCTTTGATTGACTGGAATTATTATTTTTTTTTTTAGGCTCAAGTGAGACGGAAGACGTTGTCCCAACCGAAGTTCCTGCGGTGCCGGAGGTCACTCCGGAGGATGGTTGTACCGCGGAGGGTGGTCAGGGAGCTTCATCTGATCAAGCGCCAATTAAGGAGGCGAGTGAAACTTTGACAGCTGAGCCGGAGTCCGAGGTGGAGGTCGATCCGTAGTGGCTGTGTCCACTTTAAACTGGGGATTGTCCCATTTAGTTTAAACTAAATTTCGAACTTATTTTTGGCCTAAGGAGGCTTTATCATTTCTTTTGAACAAGATATTTGCCTGAGGAGGCTTTTAAACCTTTCTAGGTTATGACCCAAGGGGGTTTGGTTAAAATTATATGCGGGTTTGCAAAGTCCGCTTTTAACCTTTTGTGGCCTTGTGGTTATGCTTTTGAGATTTTTAGGCTGATCAGACCTTTCTCTTAAGAATGCGAGAACTGAGCTCGGCTTAAAGCGAGTTCCCCACTTCGGGTTTAGTCAACTCGATAAATTTATTGGGCTTGGGCCTTAGAAACTTTTGTAGTTAACGCGACGGTTGCTCTTTCCCTTCTTATAAGTAAGGAAAACGGCTCGTCTTTAATGCAATAACTGCCTTTTCTCGATTTTCCAAAAATGGTTTAAACCACTCGGACACACTACCATTATTGGATTTATGGTTCCAAGACAAACCCTAAATCATTATAAATAAAGGCTTACCTACTTCTAAGCTTTATTTAAACACGATTTTAGAATCTTAC